GCGGGCCGGGCAGGGCAGCCGCTGCGCTCTCCGCCGCTCCCGGCGCTCCCCTCCCCCACGCTCCGCCGCGGTCCCTTCCGCCCACTCGGAGCGCGGCGGGCGCCCGTGACATGCTGCCGCCGCCGAGGGACGGTCCCCGCGTCTGAAGTGCCCGCGAGGAAGTGAGCTGGGCCGGCGCCGGCGATGACAGCCATGAAGCAGGAGCAGCAGCCCACGCCGGCGGCCAGGGCGAGCCCGGCGCAGCCCGCCGACCAGGTGAGAGTTGGCGGCGGCCCGGCCCTCGGGGCGGGGGTCCCGGGCGCGCCCCTCCCGCCTCGCCCCACCTAGCTTCGACTCAGCCCGGGCTCCCACGCCTCCTCTCGCGTCCCTCCCCCGCCGCTCCACCCCAGATGCAGGCTCTCCTCACCCATGGACTCAGCGGGAAGTTAGAGCACCGCGAGCGCTCAGGGGCCGGGCGAGAGGATGCGCAAGGTGGAGAGCCGCGGGGAAGGGGGGAGAGAGGTAAAGCCCGGGGTGCTGTGCGGGCGGGTGGGCCACCTTGGGGGCTGGAGAGGAGCAGGTTCGAGGAACTGGGCTTCTCGGCTCCCTGTAAACGCACACTGGCGGAATCTGCCGCGCTCTTGGAGACGACCACTTGCAGGGCTTCAGCCTTGCTCTGCTGTAGCGGGACGCGCGCTGGCCAAAGCCACCCAAGTAGGCAAATGACCTCTAGGCTGGTAGAGTTTTCCTCTTTCTTTGGAGGAGACGTCGGCGGGGGAGGCGAGAAGGGGGAAGAGAGCATGCCAGGCGTCTGTTCTCCAATGACTGAAATGGGGAGTGGGGAGCAGAAAGGCGTTCAGCATTAAGGGGAGCGGAGAAGAGAGGACGCCCGCTTTAGCAATTTCTTGGGTCCAGATTTGTTGTGTCTGCAGCGGTGGTGTCCTGTGTTGGCTGAGGGTTATTTCTGTCCCTTTCCTGTCTTCTCTCCAGCCGCCACTCTTTTTGTTTAGGTGCTTGGGGGCATGTACTATAAGCATGCGGTGGATCCTCATTTCCTTCCAGTGGGTTCGGTGATTTGGGAGTTGGGTGACGCTTTTCCCCCAAAGTTGGAGGGTCGGGAGCGCGGAGATGCTCTGGGAAGGAGCGTAGGAGGGCTGTGATCAGCCGGCTCAAAGTGCAGTGGCATTTACATTTATTAGAGCCGGGCAGAAAGAGCTGCGCTTGGGTCAGTGTGTAACTACCGAGCTGGAGGACTCGGGCCGTGGGGTAAAAAAGATGGGGCTTTTTGCCCCATGGCGCCCTGGTCAAGGCCTCTGGAGACATTCCGGGCAATGACCCTGGAAGCTCGCCGCTAGAAGTGACAGGGGTGCCGTCAGCCAGGCTCCAGCTCTTCCTTATTCCACTCTGCTCTTCCATATTCTAAGCCCCAAAGAGCAGTCAGAGGAGCTGTCCAAATTGGCCAGGAGTGGCTGCGAGGTAGAGGTAGAGCAAACAGCGCCAAGGATACTGTTATTAATATTCTAGTCTTGGTCATCTCTCCTGGCTTGTAGTCTCTCTTCTCCTCTTTCTTTTCTCATTTCTCTCCCATATGTTTCGCACAGGTGGTGAAGATTATTCACTGCCTTAATGCTCCCTTCAGGTTTATGGGAGAAGGTTCCACATTTTACAAAACATTTGTTTTCCTAAGCCATCCTCTTTGCTCCAGACCCTTAACTAAGCCTGTAGATATTATACTGTAATAATGTATCTTTCTCTTACATTCCTCCTCCACCCCCTTTCTTCAACACATCTCATAAAGTAGAAACAGGTGAGCAGAGGTATAAAAACTGGTTGTAGAAGAGGAACACGGATGTGACATCCTCTTTCTGGTTGACAGCCCTTAAATTTCATTAACAAGCCACTGAGCCTCTCTACTGCTCTTGGCATGATGCTACCAATAAGAATGATCAGTCAGGTGAGAGTCCCCACAAGAAATCTCTGCTCACTAACCTGTGACACCAGCTGGTTACTGGAGGCGCTGCACATAGTTTTGCGCTGGTGGAGGTGGGGAGGAAGGCACGCCACAGGGCACACAGAAGCTGAAACTGTCCCTGTAAATAATGGACACATTGTATATGCAGAGTGAATCTTTCTGTCAAGACTGATCTGGTACTTAGAATTCACAGGAAGAGGGAGAGTCAAGCTTGAATCCATTGTTCTCATTAGTTTGCATGTTGTTATAGCCACTTCAAACACCCAGGGAGTGGCCATTTGTACTACTCCTGCTTTAATTGAATAACTTAAAGTGACTCTCTGAGGATTTCCATGATGTTTAAATGTCAGCAGTATGCATTTTATACATGTGTTCAAAGTGATTCATTTGGGAAAGGGAAAGGTAGACTGAAATATACTTGGCAGTGACCCTGTAAGGGCTTTCCAAAGTCCCTAGGAAACACCTTTCTCTAAAATATTCTTTCTCTAAAGATAGACATGTGAAATGATGGCCATATGTTTTGATGTTAGTATGAATGCTTAAACTACTTGCTGTCAATCCGTTGAGATTTTATGAATGGTATACCATTGTGGCTTCATCGTGCGATTGCCTTAGAACTTCCAAGCAATACTAGATATAACACATCTGTCAAGATAGGGTTAATTGCACTGGCTTCTGTGATATTTCAAGAAAATAGATTCACAAGTTTAATTTGAAATCTTCTTTTATGAAATCCTAGCTGGTAGTTAAACAGGGCATGTTCTAGCTCATCGCTATGTACTGGTTCAGAATGATTTGAACTTCTGGGATTTCCAAGGAAGGCTCTTCACTTTCCATGACAAACATTTTCAGGAACCTCAAAGTTGCCTTGTCCTGAGACCATCAAAGTGTGCCTTCCACTTAGCACAGTGGGTGACCACAGTCTTTCCTCTGGGTGAAATGGTTATGAACCATGTAATTGTGTCAGTGTCACAATCCATCAGAGGAGCTGACCTCCTTCTTTCCTTTTGTCTATCATTCTGTGGCATAGGGTGCCAGCACCAGGGGCACCCCCTCCTGGGGCCATGCACTTTTCTTAATACTCAAATTATTGAGTATATTTTTATCATCATCTCAGTATTCTTTTTTTAAAGATTCATTAACCAAACCATGCTTGCAAGTTATTATATTGCTTTTGTAATCCCCCCAGGTATAAAATGTCTAAAAATAAATGCTTGAGTTGGGTAAATACAGGAATTTTTGAATTACCATGATCAATAACTCACTTAATATTAAGGGATCCAAATTATCAGATGACTACTTGTGATTTATTAATCACTTCCTCAGTGTTTGCCACCTGGGACATAGTGATTGTGCTGATCGTTTATACACCAACATTTATCAAATGTTTAAAAGCAACTTTTTGAGGCACCTCCTCTTGTACTATTCATGGTGGAGATGAAAATCTAGAGGATTAAAGAATTTATTGAACTTTCCCAGTGACCTCAGAACTGGCGAAGGAGATGAAAATCTAGAGGATTAAAGAATTTAATGAACTTTCCCAGTGTCCTCAGAACTGGCGAAGGTAGTGAGGATGAGATGGAGCTGGGTGCTCATGTAAGTCTGAAGCCCCACTTCCTAACTTGTGCCTCATCACAGTGCAGCTATTGTGAGAGTTCAGGCTAAGTGCAAGTTGCTTTTGTGGTTGTGTGCACTGCCTACATTCCCCTACATATAAAATGGGTAATTTGTTCAAAGGTTTAACTATGACATGCCTGAACTTTTAAAGTTAACTTATTATGTCCTTACAGATCCAAATAATAGAAAATGAATATTATATGTCTTAATGAATATACAGGAGCTTTTTTTCCTTTTAATCTTTATATCATTTGTTCAGGATTCTGACGTGTTTTTGTTTTGTTTTGTTTTTAGTCTGTAAGGCAAATTCAAAAATATGACCCCATTTCCACTAGGTGGCACCCTTCTGCTAAATCCAATGGGGAAAATTACTGACTGAAATACCGGACTGTCATAGAAGCTTCAAAACCAAAATACAACAACAGCAACAACAACACACAACTAATGTAAATAATCACTTTATACAATACATATAAAATAATTTTAAAAACAATTGTGTGTCTGAAAAATAATAGTAGCTATGAATTTTATTTTTAAAAAGTAAATATGGGTAGAAAAAAAAAAAAAAAAAAAAAAAAACCAATCTGTTACAATTCAGCACTTGGCAGGCCCCTGAAGAAGTAACTCCTGGATAGAATGGTGACTCAGTATGTGGGGTGTCAGGTGTGTTCTGCAGGATCTATGACAGCTTCCCACAAGGAATGTAAACAGCGCTACATGCATGTCCCAATAAACTAACATTAAAAGAGAGTCTTCTGCAAACTATGGCCTGTGCTGTGGACCCATAGGGAACATTAATATGGAATATTTTGATACACAATTTGTACTGAGAACTTTTATTTTTAATTTCAGTCGTGGTCTGGAACCAGATTAAAATTTTCAAATTTATGCTTATGAAAACCCCACACAGAAAGCTATTCTTCTATGTCTTACTTCTTTATCTATGTACATGTCATAATTTGGTCAATAAACTACTTTTAAACAAGGGACCTTGAAAATCACTTTTATAAATCACACTATAAAACTTACTAGATAGATATATTACTTTTCTTTCCTTCATTCATTGTTTAGTTAGTTTTGTACAACTTGGAAAGAAAATAAATTTTAGGTTTAATAAAGATATTAGATATACTTCATTGTAATTTGGAAAATTATTCATTTTCTGCTTTCAATTTTCTTATAGATGTAAATATGTAATATCTAATATAGGTCTTGTGCATGGAAGATACTTTATCTGCTGAGTTAAGAACATACCAAAAAATATTCTGCCCTGAGGAAATATATATATATATATATATATATATATATATATATATATATATTTGTTTAATTCAGGGAGTGTGTGAGCAAATTGCATATTTAAAAAGATTAACTTGGGCTGGGGAGATAACTCAGCAGTCTAAGCCCTGGTCTGACAAGTGCAAGGACCTGTTATCATGTTGGTTCCTGAGCCCTGGGCACACTGGCTAAACCAGTCATGGTGGCACGTGCCAGACACCAAGACTGGGCATGGGAAAGCATGCCTGTAATCCCGGTGCTGGGGAGGCTGAAAACAGGAAGATCACCAGGAGTCTGAGCTTCATAATGAGACCCCGTACCAAATACATTAAAAAAAATTATATTCTGTTAAGTGAAATTCTGTATTACCTGTAGTTTTTCCTATTTCAATTCTAATTTGTACTATTTT